AGACTCTCACAAGTAATATTTCTTTTATAAAAGAAAAAAGATCCCTCCTCTCCATTTCTCTTCTCTCCATTTTCCCCAAGTTTTAGCTTGGATTGAAGACATATGTCATAATTTAAAATTAATGATTGAGATCTAATTGTTAAAGTAAAGTCCTAACCATAGTTATTTGCTTCCATATATTTGCTTCTTAAATATTTTTGCAATCCAACAATCCTAGATTTATATTATATTTTTCCTAAATATATTTAAAAGAATTTCTTTTCTTAATTACTTGAGTAATTTTTTTGCTGGTTTTTATCTTTTCCCCTAACGATTGCCATTCTCAAATAATATTTGTCAAATAAAAAATTAAAAATTGTGACCTAACATTTTTTTTTCTAATTTTAGGAGTAAAATAAATTTTGTCACTCTAACTTTAAATTCTTTCTTACTCCCTAAATGGAGTCCATATTGCTCTATAGACATTGTAGCTCTTAATACTCTATAAGAAAAATAAAAACGTTTTAACTTTATTGTAAATTTTTTCAAAAAAGTAAAAATATTTAGTAAATGTTTTATATGTATATGCAGGGCAGTAAAGAATTTTTCTAAATATATTTAGAAAAAATATAATGGATTGCAAATATATGAAAGTAAATAACCATAGCAAATATATGAAAGTAAATAACAATGGTTATGACTTTACTTTAAACAATTAGATCTCAACTATTAATTTTAAACTATGACATGTGTCTCCAATCCAAGCTAGAACTTGGGGAAAATAGAGAGAAGAGAAATGGAGAGGAGCCGGATCCAAAAATAATAATAGTGACGGTAACAAAAATTAGTAAAAGCTTACATATCTCAATGAATTATATAATGTAGCAAAGGAGGCATTATAATTAGGAGCTGCTAGAAGCAAATTACACACGTCACATGTCTTCTTGGTTAACTTAACTTTTGTTGAACAATATAATTCTTGTACTTGTTTACATAAGTCAATCTTGTAATGACAATTCTGGCTGGATAAAACAAAGAACAACCTTCGTAGAAAAAGTGTAAAATACTTAGATCTAAGTGAAAAAATATCACAACCTATTACAAGAAAACTCAATGTTGCAACATGCATACCAATTCATATGCCATCGTCACACTTCATCTGGCTTCAAGCCGTGACCATAACCCAAGTGTTTCTTGCGCAGAGACTGAAAAACACAAAAATGAACAAGTGAAAAACACAATTTTACCAAAATATAAGCATGCACTGCCACATGAATGTCTTTTTTGAAGATAAAAAATTACATTGAAAAGTTATCTCATTCTAATAATATTCAGGGGTCGTTTGGTTTGAATTCAAGTTATGATGGGATAAGTTATGATAAAAAATTTTTTATTGAGTGTTTGATTTGTTGTATTCAAAATATTTTAAGAACAATTTATTTTTTTACAAAAATGCCCTTCATGAATATAAAAAGTAATGTATAAAAAGAGTTGAAAGAAACATTTTTGTCATTTACATATTTTATCCCGGCATACCACCCAAGGGGAAGGATAACTTATCCCGGTACTAATTATTAATCCCGGGATAAGTTATCCCGGACTTGCCAATCAAACAACAAATTAAGTGGTGCTATAATTTAATCCACGACTATTTGGTATTATACTTCACACCAAATGACCCCTTTTGTACTCTTATTTAAGTAAATCTTCTCATTAGAATTATCACCAATTGTCATGCAAATGATAGGCAACAATTACAATTTTTCATGTTCAAAGTCAAAATTCAATTTCCTTGTTTTCTTCTAACACATAACGCCAAAGAAAAATAAGTTGCATAACATGTGGATCTAGTAACAATTGTTACTATATGATTATTTTAACAGAGTTCTACTTTGAACAATATTATCAAAATACCCTCATCGCTTAGAGCTAGCATATTTGTATTCCGTATCTTCCCTACAAGCTCATTTGCAGTGATAATAAAAGATTAGATGTAACCAGATATCAGTGTTTACACTGGATATCGAATCACATGAAATCTTCTTACAGAAAGAAGTAGAGTTTCCAAGAAATGCACAACAAGTCATAGGAAGAGTAGCATTCGCAAGTCCGACTCAAATTGAAGTAAACAGACTTTACAAAGGCTGAAAATCACAAGTTTTTCTTATTTCAGTCGGAAACACTTACTTTGAGGAAATGCATGAGAGAGTTTCCAAAATCAACAAAAAAAAGCCTTCATAATGACCACACCATGCTCCCTGCCTCGAAAAAGAAAGCATGTGGAGTAACCTTGAGCCACATTCATGAGGAAAATGTAGTGGTTCAAGGTTCAAAAGAGCAGAATCGCCTCTCTGTGACCAAAAAACAGTATGTGACATACCTCCACTTTTAACTTCTGCAATAAGTTTTCCGCTATCAATGTAACATATTATGTTTCCAGCATACTGCCACTCAACTGTAGGTCTAGTCATTCTCTTAACTAATGAAAGAATTCACCGGCTGCCTTAGTAGTTTCAAATATGCCATTAACAAAATTTACATTCTTCATAAAGGCCACCAGAAAGAGAAAACAATAGGCACATACTGACATGTGATAACATGAATAGAGTAAATTTAAGAATGATATTATTTTGAAAAACTTCACAACCCACTCATGTATAGAGCATATACCAAGATTTAGTACAAAGAATGGGTAATAGGACCTTAGTAAAGGTTAGGTGTGTCTCTGGGATTTCGGGCATAGGCTGGGGGGTACTTATGCATTTTCCCTTAGGTAAACACAACCTAATTTATCGATACTTTAACATGTTGAACACTTCAAAGGGAAAGCTTTAAACAACAGTTGCATTTGCTTAACTCCTAAGGCAAATATCTCTCACGCGCCTCAACTGCGTGGAATCACAGAGTGTGTCATGTAAGCCAAAAGATGTACAAAATTACAAAAAAAAAAGAGTTCAGGGGTAATAGGACCTTAGTTTAGTTAAGGTGTATCTATGAGATTTCGGTTATAGTCTAGGGGGGTAGTTGTGCCTTATCCCAGATATTGTATTAACATTAGCTTCTTTCATAATTAAATAAGAGAAATATTTCTTATCTCTTAAAATAGTGTGTGTTGTGCCACTATTATAAGACATATATCATCATAATTGATTTTGAATCCATATGATGACTGGGGAATTTTCATATTCTTCATAAAAATAAAAGATATTATAAGAACGTAAAAAACCAACAACATAAGAAACTTAAAGAAATTATACTAAAAATGTAGAAATTAGTAAAACATAATGCCTTAAGAAAAACATTTAAGAAGAACAACATAGTTGCAAACATAATAGAAAACCAACAATTATTCTTATAATTTTATTCCCAGTTAGATGATCAGTTCTTCAATCAATATTCTCATAAAAGTCTTCAACTTTCAGATGAGTAATATTTGGGAGGCCTTCAAAGTCATCATCTTTATAAGCAAGATTTGCATCAATATCATCATATTTATTTGAGGGAGCTGCTTCATTATTATCATTCTGAAAGGTCAAGTGTGCCTCTACATTAGTATTTTTTCTTTTGAGAGAGGCTTGATAAAGTTTCACAAAATGATCAGGCATACGACATTCACGTGCCCAATGACCTTTCATACCACATTAGTGACAAATATTGATTCTACCTCGAGAAGGATTATTTGAGAATTTTTGTTATTCTCATGTTTATTTCCACCATAATGATGATAATTATTTCGTCCTCTACCACGTCTACAATCATGGCCATGACCACAGCCATATCCACGAGAATTATTTTCTCTTGATTCAGACTGATTATGTGTTGCTACAACATTCGCTTCAGGGAATGGAGCAGACTCAGTGGGACAGACTTCATAATTTTTCATCAACAAAGTATTATTCTGCTCAGCCACAAGTAGGCATGTAATTAATTCAGAATATTTCCTAAACCCCTTTTCACGATATTGTTATTGTAACAACACATTTGAAGCGTGAAAAGTGGAAATGTTTTCTCAAGTAAGTAATCATCAGTGATAGTACTCCACATAATTTTAATATGGAACTTACTTTATGAATAACAGAATTATACTCAATTACAATTTTAAAATCTTGAAATCGAAGGTGTAGCCACTCATATCGAGCTTTTGATAACACCGTAAGTTTTAGGTGGTCATATCAATCATTCAAATTAATCCATAATTCAAGAGGGTCTTTCACAGTTAAATATTCAGTTTTTAATCCCTCATGAAGATGATGTCGGAGAAAAATCATGGCCTTCGCTTTATCCTGACTTGATGTTTTATTTTCTTGTTTAATAGTATCACCAAGACCTTTAGCGTCAAGGTGAATTTCAGCATCAAGGACCCATGACAAATAATTCTTTGGTAATATCAAGTACCACAAACTCAAACTTTGATAAGTTTGACATGATGAACAATGTAATAGAAATTTAATTTATCCAAAAAAAATTAGAGCTTTGTGCTGATAACGTGTTTTAAAATAAAAATATTAAAGTAAAAGAAGAAAGGAAGAGAAAGAAGCAGAGAAGTAGTTTTCTTCTCAAAGGGATATCTATTTCCATTACAATGTAATGCTCCTTTTATGGAGGTGAAATTACTTGGAAAGATGAATAAGCTACAGTAAATGTGGGTCTCTATGGACATCCATTTGTTTACAACAATGATCACATTCTTATATTTTGACCCTAAACTCAAGATCTGAACCTAATCCCGATTTGAAACCCAACCCAAATTTGGGAACCGAGATCCAACCACGAGTTGAGACCAAGCCCCGACTTTGACCCAAAATTGGAGATCCGACCTTGACTCAAGAGTCAGGACCCGAGATCCAACCCCAATCCAGGATCGACTTCAACCCCAATCCTTGATTACACATATTATGCATATATGCCAAATATTTAACAACAGCTTAGGCAATGATTTTGGACACTGTTACATAACTTACATTAACACAAGAAACAATAAACTACATTATTTATTTCTTAAGACATAATATAATATACATTTAGTTGTGTTCTAATGGTACTTGGACATTTTTGCGGTATTCAGCCAAACCCCACAATGGAAATATATTTCTATATGCTGCATAGTGCAACATGCAATTCTTCATGACAACTCCAGTTATTTCCTGCACATATTTATGAAGTCAAACAAGTGCAATATTTTGATAAAACTAGTTTTAGCAATCTCTGTTCTTTGAGAAATTGTTTTGCCAGTTTGAATCAAGTATCATTCAAATATGACCAGATTGTTTAAAGTCAACTATATGAATCATCTATATTCGCTTTGTTTAACTACAGTCAATTTCGTTCCAGTAACAGCTTGTTCTTTTAACGGTCAAAGAATCTTCTCCTTTGTTTAACTTGTAATTTACAGAGTAATTACCTGTTGTGGGAAGTCACCATCTTCCATTTGAGAATTAATCAAAAGCCTAGCCGCACGGTGGATGGGTCTTGGATCTCTATCAACCTGTCCAAAGGAAAGTTGGTAAAGAACTCTTATAAAGAAAAGTTCTACTCTGATTTTGTTATAAATTACAGCATTTACTAATGGCATGATACATAAACAAACCTTCAAACTTGGCTTCAACTGACAAGTAAGCACTCCAACTTTGAAAGGTCACATCTAGACACCTCAACTTGGTCTCAACTGGAAACTAAACACTTCCACTCGTCTTCATTGTGTCTCGTGGCACCTAAATTTTGAAGGTGTCTAGATGATCATTTTGTAAGTTGAAGTGTTTAACTGACACAGTGGAAACGAGTTGAAGTGCCTAGATGTGCACTCTCAAAGTTGTAGTGCTTAATTGTCAGTTGAAAGCAAGTTTGAGTGATGTTTATGTATTATGCTTTTACTAATAGTAACAAGGAATTAACCTGGCCAGAGTGAATCAATCCCATCAATGCCCATGCAGTTTGTACAAGATTTGAGTGTTCTGTTTCAAGCTCTTTATATACCTGTTTGATCAAATACAAAGCTAAGTCACAGTTATCTTTTCCAGATATCTTTATACTTCATCCTATTCTTTAAGGGTAAAAATGCATGTCAATAGAAAACTTAAGACTTAAAATATTCAGTATTGGAATGAAACGGTTCCAAATGGAGTAGGATGCATGTGCAGAGTCCATATAGCCGACTATGTTGCATGGATTCTCCAAAAATGTTGTTGCAGATCTTCCAAAAATGCACAACTTTTGGAGGATCCAACGTGCACCAAGTGACATTCTCAGAAACATAGCATATAATTGACCTTAACAATGCACAAATTGAGACGTAGGTGTAGTTATTGTTGTTTTACGTAGCTTTTGTGCTTTTACATTACCTTGTCAGGACAAGAATGATAGCTTTCTCCCCAACCACCATCAGACCTTTGTCTTCGTAACAGAAATTCAACGCCTTTTCGAACAGCCGCAGAGTTGCTGTAACTCTTGCCTGCTGCAGCAAGCCCTCCAAGAGCAAACCAGGAAGCATATGTAAAGCACACACCCCAGGAACCATACCTATTGGCATGATAATCGTGTCATATGTATCGACAGAGCAGAAAGTTCAAGGACTCGCAAGAAAAATATCATATACCATGAACCATCAGGCTTCTGTACATCGTCAAGATATTTAACAGCATTATCAATGAAATTGTCAATCTTTGTGGTCCGGTGTCCAGGGTATAGCTTTTTAAACAGAACTAGTGCTTGGATTGACGCGCCAGTGCACTCAACATACCTGGGTTGACATGTAATCAGTGTGAAGATGTTGTTAGAATAGGAATAGTTTATAGTCTCCTACTTGGTAAGAAATTGTATTATAGTGTCTATAAATAGGGTTTTGACAGAATCTTACTCATGCTCAATGACAATGTCCGCAAAAAGTTCAGTACGATTGAGAAACTGTCAGTGAATATAACAGAACAAGAAAGTTACATATTCAGGTTCTGGATGACTATAGAAGAAGTTGAATGCTGTTAACAACCTTGAAATGAAGCAGATAGATAAAATTCCTATATTGTGAATCTCAAACTAAAACAATTATTTTACTTTACCTCGAAATACTGTGAGGCCCCTGCAGGCTCCCAAGCGGCTCTCCCTCCGCCCGACGAGTGGGAAGAAGAAAGAAAAATGGATCGTACAGGGATGGAGATGGCTAAAAATGGAAGTGGGCTGATGGGCTGAGGAAGAAAGCTTTTTTTAGTTACTATAATTCTTTTTAAAAGTTTCATTATTTTATTGTTTTATTTTTCTATTTTTTAAATATTTTTTTAGCTTAAATAGGATAGTCACTCGCCTTAATGAGAATGAATTCACGCATTTTTGCCAACTCAACCATCTTGATGCCACATAAGCCTAGTCAATGGTTAGAGGGGTTTGATAAGTTGTGTTTCATTAAGTTTAAGGGTTCAATTGATAAAGAATTAAGTAGAAGAGTTCGCAATACAAATTCATACAAGTACAAGAATCTATTAGACCATTTCGCCTTAATTAAATAATAGAAGTAAGAAAAATCCAATGGAGAGGATGCATCTAGAATAAAGTTGAGTGTTTGTGTGGTAATAAAGTGATCTTGGTGCATTGAGTGACACGTGTAACAAAAAGTATAGATATTTGATTAAGCTAAATAATTGATTTACCCTTGATCGTCCTCCTCATCACATTTTTTTTTTATGCTTTGAAAACCATCTGTAATTAAATAAAGTAAATTAGGATTACATGAAGAAAGATACCGATTTTTGCATGTTAAACTTTGATATTACAAGTGAATACATTAAATTATTTGCCGAGTAGTATATCAATTTTCATATTGATCAAGAATTAGATGGAAAAGAAAAAAGGAAGCAGCAATGTTCTCATCATAAGTTTTGAAGGGTATGTGGTGTGCCGTATATATGATGAACCATTGTAGAAGCACTCATAAAAATTGAAATGACAAAGCGACCTAAATCAAGATTCAAAATAGACGTAAGAATCAAAAACTTGTTTATCGATACTTTAACATGTTGAACACTTCAAAGGGAAAGCTTTAAACAACAGTTGCATTTGCTTAATTCCTAAGGCAAATATCTCTCACGCGCCTCAACTGCGTGGAATCACAGAGTGTGTCATGTAAGCCAAAAGATGTACAAAATTACAAAAAAAAAAAGAGTTTAGGGGTAACAGGATCTTAGTTTAGTTAAGGTGTATCTATGAGATTTCGGTCATAGTCTAGGGGTAGTTGTGCCTTATCCCAGATATTGTATTAACATTAGCTTCTTTCATAATTAAATAAGAGAAATATTTCTTATCCTCTTAAAATAGTGTGTGTGTGCCACTATCTACAAGACATATATCATCATAACTGATTTTGAATCCATATGATGACTGGGGAATTTTCATATTCTAAATATAAATAAAAGATATTATAAGAACGTATAAAACCAACAACATAAGAAACTTAAAGAAATTATACTAAAAATGTAGAAATTAGTAAAACATAATGCCTTAAGAAAAACATTTAAGAAGAACAACATAGTTGCAAACATAATAGAAAACCAACAATTATTCTTATAATTTTATTCCCAGTTAGATGATCAGTTCTTCAATCAATATTCTCACAAAAGTCTTCAACTTTCAGATGAGTAATATTTGGGAGGCCTTCAAAGTCATCATCTTTATAAGCAAGATTTGCATCAATATCATCATATTTATTTGAGGGAGTTGCTTCATTATTATCATTTTGAAAGGTCAAGTGTGCCTCTACATTAGTATTTTTTCTTTTGAGAGAGGCTTGATAAAGTTTCACAAAATGATCAGGCATACGACATTCACATGCCCAATGACCTTTCATACCACATTAGTGACAAATATTGATTCTACCTCAAGAAGGATTATTTGAGAATTTTTGTTATTCTCATGTTTATTTCCACCATAATGACGATAATTATTTCATCCTCTACCACATCTACGATCATGGCCATGACCACGGCCACGTCCACGAGAATTATTTTCTCTTGATTCAGACTGATTATGTGTTGCTACAACATTCGCTTCAGGGAATGGAGCAGACTCAGTGGGACAGACTTCACATGATTTTTCATCAACAAAGTATTATTCTGCTCAGCCACAAGTAGGCATGTAATTAATTCAGAATATTTCCTAAACCCCTTTTCACGATATTGTTATTGTAACAACACATTTGAAGCGTGAAAAGTGGAAATGTTTTCTCCAGTAAGTAATCATCAGTGATAGTACTCCACATAATTTTAATATGGAACTTACTTTATGAATAACAGAATTATACTCAATTACAATTTTAAAATCTTGAAATCGAAGGTGTAGCCACTCATATCGAGCTTTTGATAACACCGTAAATTTTAGGTGGTCATATCAATCCTTCAAATTAATCCATAATTCAAGAAGGTCTTTCACAGTTAAATATTCAGTTTTTAATCCCTCATGAAGATGATGTCGGAGAAAAATCATGGCCTTCGCTTTATCCTGACTTGATGCTTTATTTTCTTGTTTAATAGTATCACCAAGACCTTTAGCGTCAAGGTGAATTTCAGCATCAAGGACCCATGATAAATAATTCTTTTTGGTAATATCAAGTACCACAAATTCAACCTTTCATAAGTTTGACATGATGAACAATGTAATAGAAATTTAATTTATCCAAAAAAAAATTAGAGCTTTGTGTTGATAACGTGTTTTAAAATAAAAAATATTAAAGTAAAAGAAGAAAGGAAGAGAAAGAAGCAGAGAAGTAGTTTTCTTCTCAAAGGGATATCAATTTCCATTACAATGTAATGCCCCTTTTATAGAGGTGAAATTACTTGGAGAGATGAATAAGCTACAGTAAATGTGGGTCTCTATGGACATCCATTTGTTTACAACAATGATCACATTCTTATATTTTGACCCTAAACTCAAGATCCGAACCTAACCCCGATTTGAAACCCAACCCAAATTTGGGAACCGAGATCCAACCACGAGTTGAGACCAAGCCTCGACTTTGACCCAAAATTGGAGATCCGACCTTGACTCAAGAGTCAGGACCCGAGATCCAACCCCAATCCAGGATCGACTTCAACCCCGATCCTAGACCCAACCTCATCTTGGGACTAGACTCCTAGGACCCTTACCCATATAAAATATCAAGTAAAGATCTAGTAATAAATCTAAACTAAAGAAAATCTATAAAATGGGCTAGAATTAAGCTAAATATTTAAAATCGGATATCCTTGATTACACATATTATGCATATATGCCAAATATTTAACAGCAGCTTAGGCAATGATTTTGGACACTGTTACATAACTTACATTAACACAAGAAACAATAAACTACATTATTTATTTCTTAAGACATAATATAATATAATATATATTTAGCTGTGTTCTAATGGTACTTGGACATTTTTGCGGTATTCAGCCAAACCCCACAATGGAAATATATTTCTATATGCTGCATAGTGCAACATGCAATTCTTCATGACAACTCCAGTTATTTCCTGCACATATTTATGAAGTCAAATAAGTGCAATATTTTGATAAAACTGGTTTTAGCAATCTCTGTTCTTTGAGAAATTGTTTTGCCAGTTTGAAAGGGATTGTTTCTTTATATTAACTAATCACGGAAAGAAGTTCTTACATGTCATTGGACTTTCAGAAATGGCTCAGTCATGCCATATGTTAATAGTTGGGCTATTTATGTCATCACCGTGACAACAGTCCACATTTGTGTCACTCTTTACTGAAAGTTCGATGGCATATTTGAACTTTTTTTCCATTAATCAAATATCATTCAAATATGACCAGATTGTTTAAAGTCAACTACATGAATCATCTATATTCGCTTTGTTTAACTACAGTCAATTTCGTTCCAATAATAGCTTGTTCTTTTAACGGTCAAAGAATCTTCTCCTTTGTTTAACTTGTAATTTACAGAGTAATTACCTGTTGTGGGAAGTCACCATCTTCCATTTGAGAATTAATCAAAAGCCTAGCCGCACGGTGGAGGGGTCTTGGATCTCTATCAACCTGTCCAAAGGAAAGTTGGTAAAGAACTCTTATAAGGAAAAGTTCTACTCTGATTTTGTTATAAATTACAGCATTTACTAATGGCATGATACATAAACAAACCTTCAAACTTGGCTTCAACCGACAAGTAAGCACTCCAACTTTGAAAGGTCACATCTAGACACCTCAACTTGGTCTCAACTGGAAACTAAACACTCCAACTCGTCTTCATTGTGTCTCATGGCACATAAATTTTGAAGGTGTCTAGATGATCATTTTGTAAGTTGAAGTGTTCAACTGACACAGTGAAAACGAGTTGAAGTGCCTAGATGTGCACTCTCAAAGTTGTAGTGCTTAATTGTCAGTTGAGAGCAAGTTTGAGTGATGTTTATGTATTATGCTTTTACTAATAGTAACAAGGAATTAACCTGGCCAGAGTGAATCAATCCCATCAATGCCCATGCAGTTTGTACAAGATTTGAGTGTTCTGTTTCAAGCTCTTTATATACCTGTTTGATCAAATACAAAGTAAGTCACAGTTATCTTTTCCAGATATCTTTATACTTCATCCTATTCTTTAAGGGTAAAAATGCATGTCAATAGAAAACTTAAGACTTAAAATATTCAGTATTGGAATGAAACGGTTCCAAATGGAGTAGGATGCATGTGCAGAGTCCATATAGCCGACTATGTTGCATGGATTCTCCAAAAATGTTGTTGCAGATCTTCCAAAAATGCACAACTTTTGGAGGATCCAACGTGCACCAAGTGACATTCTCAGAAACATAGCATATAATTGACCTTAACAATGCACAAATTGAGACGTAGGTGTAGTTATTGTTGTTTTACGTAGCTTTTGTGCTTTTACATTACCTTGTCAGGACAAGAATGATAGCTTTCTCCCCAACCACCATCAGACCTTTGTCTTCGTAACAGAAATTCAACTCCTTTTCGAACAGCCGCAGAGTTGCTGTAATTCTTGCCTGCTGCAGCAAGCCCTCCAAGAGCAAACCAGGAAGCATATGTAAAGCACACACCCCAGGAACCATACCTATTGACATGATTAATCGTGTCATATGTATCGATAGAGCAGAAAGTTCAAGGACTCGCAAGAAAAATATCATATACCATGAACCATCAGGCTTCTGTACATCATTAAGATATTTAACAGCATTATCAATGAAATTGTCAATCTCTGTGGTCCGGTGTCCAAGGTATAGCTTTTTAAACAGAACTAGTGCTTGGATTGATGCACCAGTGCACTCAACATACCTGGATTGACATGTAATCAGTGTGAAGCTGTTGTTAGAATAAGAATAGTTTATAGTCTCCTACTTGGTAAGGGATTGTATTATAGTGTCTACAAATAGGGTTTTGACAAAATCTTACTCGTGCTCAATGACAATGTCCGCAAAAAGTTCAGTAGGATTGAGCAACTGTCAGTGAATATAACAGAACAAGAAAGTTACATATTCAGGTTCTGGATGACTATAGAAGAAGTTGAATGCTGTTAACAACCTTGAAATGAAGCAGATAGATAAAATTCCTATATTGTGAATCTCAAACTAAAACAATTATTTACTTACCTCCAAATACTGTGAGGCCCCTGCAGGCTCCCAAGCGGCTAAACCCCATTTTTGCTCTGCAATTTTATTTAAATGGATCTCAATATTGCTAGAAATGTGCGAAATGATGAGTGACTAAATTCAGAAAATATGAATTTATAGCATAGGTAGCCATGTATAGGACTATTCGAGGTAAGATATAGGTTTGTTTCTCTTGGAATTTTCGTACAAGGACCAGATATCTTCAGACTGAATGACCAGTGATTTTAAGACACATTAATCAGTTTTTACCTGGAAGGTAAGAATAACATCCACTGAGTCATACAGTCGTGCAGGTTCGATTGCCTCACCAACTAATTCTGAAGGCATTGTAGAGAAGAAAAGGCAGCACTAGAGAAACAAAATTAAGAAGATATCAGGCAATCTACTAGCATTATCATTTTGCTACTTTTCAGTAATTACAAGAAGTTGGAATCTTATTTTATTGAATAGATAGTTACCTTTAATGCTTCGGCAGTGGAATCAGATACTTGCCATCCATGATCTTGATCTGAAAAAGTCCACGATCCTTTTGAGATATGCCGATACATCCCTTTAAAATCACCAGAAGGACTGTCCTTCACCTAGCAACTAAGTCACTTACATTTGAAAGAGCTGTTATGCTCATGATTTAAACATCCAACCTGCGATGTTTTTATGAAGTCATGTCCTTTTCTCAGAGTATCTAATATATCATCATTCATCTCACTGGCCAATAATGCTTGAATAGCAAAACTAGTATCCCATGCTTGACTACCGAAACTCTGCAATTCAACGACAAATACTCACCTATTTCAGTAAGAATTGTTTGCATCATTTCAGAATAGGAAAAGGGGCTAGTTTTTTATTTTACAAACGCGTGTTTTAAGTGTAAAACAGATGTTATTTCTTAACTCATTGTGGTTTGTGAAATAGTATGATTTCCTTGATTACAAAAGATAATTCATATATACCAACCTGCATTTTCATTCCATCTTCAGCTACCCATAAATAATCTGGAATCCGAGCAAGATGTTTTTTGAAATAACTGCCATTTGGATCCTCAACCCAACAAGCAAGCATACACAATACCTACACCATCCATGTGTTACAGAAGTGTGAGGATTGAAGTCGTTAAGAAAATGCAGGTATTTTGTTATTTGTCCAAAATGACTAAGTTGTCATACTTTATTAACACATCCAATGGTGATATATCGGCTATTCTCGTCTTCATAATGTATATGTTTCATGGTAACTGCAAGAGCTTTATTTCTCAGCTTGTTGAAAGGCCAACGAGTCAATAGAGGCTCGGTACATATGTTGAGACTGTCCCACATTAAATCTTGAACCCATGGATGAGGGTAATAGAGATCCTCCTAGCGCAGCAAGTTTGTGTTTGAGCATTTGTACAAAATAGTATGATATCTATACTAACTTGAACACCGAGGACTCATTTGGTCCGTAGACAAGTTTATAGAGGGATAAATAATATTGAATATTATGTTGAGATTTATTTCTAATCTCAATAATCAAACGACCCTTGATAGTCATACCTTTGCACATAAATGGCGTACTCTTTTCCAGTTAATTTCATCGTATGGTTGACTATATAACTCAACCCTCAATTGCAAAATGAGAGGTGTGATTGGACCAACAAATCTCTTCCCATAGAGATAAGACATTGGCATGTAAACCATTCGACAGTAACACCACATTTTTGCTGCATTTAGATTAAGAGTCAAAATACTTGGTAGATCAATATATGGACACCAATAGAGAACGACATCAACCAGAAAACATTGCATAGCAAATCCTTAAAACTAATATCTACAATAAAATGAACTGAGAATTTTAAAATGTGTATGTGTAAGCAATAACAAATATTGATCAACCTGGATTCATAGGAAGAAAAGATGGAAGAATCCAAAACTCAGGGGGCATTGGATTGGTTCCTAACCACTCAAAAGCTCCAAGAATCTAAATGACAAGAAGGAAGATTTATCAGCAACAAGAAGGCACTAAATCGTAGTATAAGAGAAACTCGTTAAATTATCAGCAACAAGAAGGCCAAGTTAGAGGGCATATTTATGTATTATGCCAATAATTTAACAAGTTTCTCTTATACTACTAAAGATAAGAAAGAGCTTTTGCAAAATCAGGTCACCTAAATGATCACAACTAACTGTCCACAATAAGTGCAGTGATAAGAACCTAAAGGTTGAATCCGCTAACCATCCACAATATAAGTCAATAACCTCCAAATAGATTAGGCCATGTGATCCTAGGTTTAGTACAATCCACTTTTTTAGGATATGTAGAAATAAATGTATATTGCACATATATATTTAGCTGTAAAAATAATAAATAAAAGTTTTCAATCAATAAATAATTCTTATAAAAATTATAAATACACAAGAATACTTCTTATTTTTGAAGCAGAATAAGTGACTATCTGACAAGAGTCAATGAAAAATACAAACAAGAATTGGAGCTCGGATATTTAACAGAAGCAAAGCTGAAGCTTTTGTTTAACTTAAATAATAGTCCAAGATAATTCATTCGCGGTAAACAGTATGATTTGATTTCTATGACATATACTTAACTGTACATCGAATGTTGCGACCATATTATCATTAAAATTAGAGTTGTCAATATGGGTTGACCCACCTCAATTGGGTTAATACATATAATTTTGAAATTTGACAGGCTAGGCCGGGCTGACCCCTTTTTTATTGGGTCAGAAAACGGTCAGCCCAACCCACAAGTACGTGGGCTACGGGCTGTGCCGGACCAATCCATTTTTTAAAAAATATATTTTTTATAATTTTTTAATCAAATTATAATTTAAAAATATTATCATAAATATCGTATTACATGGTGTTTGTGTTACTACTTGTTAATCAAATCCACAAATAAAATTATTTTTATAATATTTATTAAGTTTGATTTTAAGTAAAAGTATAAATAGCTAAATAGAAATATAACCTAATTGTTTTCTAATGATCATAATAAAACACAAAAAAATATGACAATATTTCATAGGCTATGGCCTACATAGTGATTCCCTAAAAATTTTAGGAAAATTTTCTTTTATGTAGTACATATTTTATAAATATATTTGTATTTAAATTTTAATAGTTAAAACTTTAAATAGGTTTTGAGTTTGGACTCTTGTTATTTTTAATACTCTATTTTGTTTTTATTTGGCCACGAGCCGACCCTACCCATATTTCTCAAGTCTCACTAATCAGCAGACTTAATCAGGTCGGGCTAAAAAACTCTTTTCTTAAATAGGCTCCAAAAATCTTAACCACCCTATTAGGCCAGGCCGGCCCAATGGACCTAGCTCATATTGACGGCTCTAATTAAAATACTTAAAAATCGACATATTGAATATGATATTAATTTCTACTTTGGATATTTGTAAGAAAAACCAAAGGATTGAGGAATCGTACCTTATTATTAATTAATTAATATTACTCATTGACATTTGACAATTACAATACCTAACTTTAATTAGTGCAATTTCTAGGGAAAAAAATAGTCATAAGTCATTAACCTCAAAATACTTATTACTTAAATAATGCAACACCCATAATTGATTTCTATTAAAACAAAAGATGAAGAAGAAAAAATCAATTTTAATTGTAACTTGAGGAACTTGTATTAGTTCTCTTTAGTTTAATTCTGTTTTCTTATGCCTATATCCTCAAGATGAGTAATAACTATTAAGAATTTTTTTCAAAAAATTGTTTACATTATTTATTAGAGCAATTATAGATTTGGGGAAACTACTAAAGCGATACTTTTTTTGAACACAATTTGTTTAGTTAAAATGAAATTTGAAATGGATCAATAAAATAGAAATTTGTTGGCAGACACAAATATAAAAAAGTAAATCTAATGTGAGGACTTAATAACTAGTCCTTCATCACACGACTCTCAAATTTAACATGTAATAAATTTCGAGAAACAAAGTCAAAGTATTTAATTATTTGCCCCATATTTTGAGATGCTTCCACCATATGTCCTTTGCTTGAAACCACACAAATATATTGACTAAAGGTTACACGTTGCAATTTTTAAATAGGCATAATACATAAATTGGACCCTTAACTTGGCTTCAAATTATAACTTTGACCTTTAACTTTGTGAGTGCACAAATAGACACTTTAACTATCCAAAACTTAAACAAAAAAACACTCGGATCCTACCTGGCAAAATGCTTGAAATAAACTCAAATTAGGCGCGTCAGATGTAAAAATCGAGGGGCCCAACAGTAAAAAAAGCATTGAAAGGACAATTAAACCCTCTTTATATCTTTTTCAACAATTTTCCCCTCTTTTTTGCATTATTTGTTGTTCACTGCAAAATGCAAGTGACATTTAATAAATTTTTTTGTTATTGCGAAAAAAAATTATAATGAAGTTTTTTTTTGGCAAGATGGGTGAGTATACACTTGTAAAAGTCGAATGCAATTTAAGTTCGAAGGTTCTCGATCAATGAATCCGATCCACACTTAAGGGACTCCTTACATTTTGATTAGGTGTCAGATTGCTACTCAAATTTAACAAAAATCTCTAAAAAATTCATTCAGACAATTTATCAAACACTTTAAGTGTACCATTTTACTTAATAATTTTTAGCACTGTATGTTCAGTTTTTGGCCTCCAAAAATTCATAATTGTAATTTGCTATTCACTATGACAATCACAATACACAAAACACCCTGTTTTTTCCATTAAGTAGTTGACAACTTAAAGCACAAATACACTTTAACTAAAGAAAAGAAGGAGAAGTTCATTGATTCTCACGTCTTCCCATATTATGGGCTGCTCTAAAATAATTTTGCAACAAAAACAATAGTAAAACAATGCTGAAATGACAACTCTACACCCCGAATTCCGGCCAATCTCCGGCAACCCAAAACCCCCGTTCATTTTCTTCTTTTTCAGGCAAAACGCCACCACCAAATGACCCCCAAACAAGTACCTCCAACCCAGCCGTTCTCCTTCTTCCTCACACCGAAGCACAACCCATGAAGCGAACTAACTTCGAGTTCGCTAAACCCACCAAATACCCGACCCCAAACCCATCAGATCCGCCATCTCCGGCGAGAATCATCACAAAACAACACTGCTGCAACCAACAGCTCGAACCAGACACAAAACAGCAACCAAATGATCCCCCAAACCCCATGAAAATAGACCCAATGAGCACCAAGCTAGCAAAACCATTAGGAGGAATTAATTTTGATTCTTGTATATAAATTAAAATTAATTTTGATTTTTTTTAGTTCTAAAATGACGTGTAAAATATTTAATTAGTTGGCAACCATTGAGTGGCTCACTAATACACGTGGGAGTGTTTGCATTTCACGCTCTTTGGCTCCGAAAATCGTGTGTTTATTTATTTAAAGGTAGGATAGTTAAAGTGCCTATTTGTGCATTATGAAAGTTGGAGGTCAAAGTTAAAATTTGAAGCCAAGTTTAGGGGTCAATATATGTATTATGCCTTTTAATACCATGTTGTGTCGCAAGCTATTTGATATTTAGTACTCATTGTTTCGACTAATCTGGATTAATCAAACTAATGATTTGTACTTTGTTGAACTAAAGACAAATTTGGAATTTAAATTTTATGAATTTAACAACCTCAAGTTAATACTTAATACTATAATAAAAGTTGAGTTCGACGATAATAACATATCCAATGTAATCTTACAAATGGGGCCTGAAAAGGGTAGGATATACACAAATTTTATGCTGTCTTTGTGGGGTAGGAAGGTTATTTCCAGTAGAACCCTAGACCCCTGATTCAAAAGAAATGTATCCGACACAAGATTATAAGAAAAATAAAACAACAAAATAAATGCAATAACAAATAGTAATACACTGGGAAGAATAAAAAACTACAATATAACTAAATAATACTAAAATGATAATAATAATTGAGTTTACAAACAAATATCAAAAAAATTTCCATTCTGAAGGATCGAACTCGAAACATTTAATTAAGGGTTGATCATAGTCATATCTCACCACTCTCTGGGTGATCATTTGCTAGAGTATAATCATTAAGGGTGGATATATATATAGAATAATAGAAGTACAAATCACTTTCTGGATAGAATTATAATGATATTAGACATTGTTACATCACTTACATTAGCACAACAAACAAACAACAATAAACAGCTCGATTCACTAAGCTCCCGCTATGCGTGGAATCCGCAGAAGGCCTAATTGCATTCTCTATATTTAGTTGTGTTTTAATGGTACTAAGACATTTCTGCGGTATTCAGCCAAACCCCACAATGGAAATATATTTCTATATGCTGCATAGTGTATCATACAATTCCTCGAGAAAACACCAATTATTTCCTGCACATATTTATAAAGTTAGATAAAAGCAATATTTTGATAAAACTGGTTTTAGCAAATCTCTGTTCTTATAAATATTGTTTTGCCAGTTTGAAAGAGCTTGTTTCTTTATATTAATTAATCAATATCAATCAAACACGATTAGATTCTAAACTAGTTCGAGTCAAGACTATATGAATCATCTATGTCTATTTCGTTTAAATCCAGTCTATTTCATTCTAATACTTAATACATATTAATTTGCGGAGTAATTACCTGCTGTGGGAAGTCACCATCTTCCATCTGAGAATTAATCAACAGCTTTGCTGCGCGGTGGAGGGGCCTCGGATCTCTATCAACCTGTCCAAATGAGGAAGTTGGTAAATAAATCTTGAACAAGAAACTTTTTACTATGATGGTGAATAAATTTAGCATTTTACTAATAGTAACAAGGAATTCACCTGGCCAGAGTGAATCAATCCCATCAATGCCCATGCAGTTTGTACAAGATTCGAGTGTTCTGTTTCAAGCTCTCTATATACCTGTTTGATCAAATACAAAGTTGATCGTAGTTGTCTTATGAACAGTCATCTTTATATTTCCTCCTCGAATGGAGCAAGATTCATGTCTAGAGTTCATGTACCGACCTTTACATGGCCTTTTTATGCTTTTACATTACCTTGTCAGGACAAGAACGGTAGCTTTCTCCCCAACCACCATCAGACCTTTGTGTTCTTAGAAGAAATTCTACGCCTTTACGAACAGCTGCACAGTTGCTGTACGACAAGCCTACAGCAGCAAGCCCTCCAAGAGCAAACCAGGAAACATATATGAAGCACACACCCCAGTTACCATACCTGTTGACACGATTAATCATGTCATAATCGATAGAGCAGAAAGGAACTTGCAAGTTCAAGGGCTCACAAGAGAAATATCATATACCATGAACCGTCAGGCTTCTGTACATCTTCAATATATTTAACACCATTATTAATAAAATTGTCAACCTCCTTGGTTCGGTGTCCAGGGTATAGCTTCTTAAAACGAACAAGTGCTTGGATTGCCGAGCTAGTGCACTCAACATGCCTGGAATGACATTGAATCAGTGTGAAGCAGTAAAACGGAGACTAGGAATGGGAAAAAAAAACTAAAGGGAGAGAGAGAAACAAATCTTACTCATGCTCAATAACAATATCCTCGAAAAATTCAGTAGGATTGAGCAACTGAGAAATACAACAACCAAGAAAATTACTTATTCAGGTTCAGGGAAGATTATAGAAGAGGTCGAAGGTTTTCAACAACCTTGAAATGAAGCAGATATATAAACTTACTATATTATGAATCTCAAAACTCAAACGATTATTTTACTTGGCAGAGAAGTTACCTCCAAATACTCTGCGGCCCCTGCAGGTTCCCATCCTGCTAAACCCCCATTCTTGCTCTGTAGTTTATTTAAAATAGATCTCATCATTACTAGAAATGAGCCAAATAACGAGTGACTAAATTCAGAAAAAAATGAATTCATTTCACAATTCACAGGTAGCCAGGTATTGGATAGGCTTCTCTTGGAATCATTGTACAAGCAGAAAACAACTGCAGATTAAATGACTTAATGATTTGAGGACACATCTTTCAGTGTCTACCTGTAATGAAAGAATAACATTCACCGAGTCATACAGTCGCACTGGATCCATTGCCTCACCAACTAATTCAGGAGGCATTGTAGAGAAGAGAAGGCAGCACTAGATAAACAAAAATAAGAAGATATCAGGTCAATTTACTAGCACTTATCATCATACCATTTTTCAACAATTACAAGTTGAAATCTCATTTCATTGAAAAGTTAGGTACCATTAATGCTTCGGCAGTGCAATCAGATACTTGCCATCCATGATCTTGATCTGCAAAAGCCCATGATCCTTTTGAGATATGTCGATACATCCCTTTAAAATCACCAGAAGGATTGTGCTTCACCTGCAAGAAGTCACTTACATTAATAAGGTCCACAATTTGAAAGAGCTGATATGCTCATGATCTAAACATCCAAACCTGAGATTGTTTTATAAAGTCATGTCCTTTTCTAAGAGTATCTGATATCTCATCATTCATCTCACTGGCCAATAGTGCTTGAATAGCTAAACTAGCATCCCATGATTGACTACCAAGACCCTGCAATTCAACAACAAATACTCACCAATTTCAGTAACAAATGTTTGCATCACTTCAAAGTTCAAACTAAGAAGAGGGGGCTAGATTTTTTATTTTACAAACACACGTTAAGTGCAAATGAGCTCCTGTTCTTGTCTCATTGTGGTTTGTGAAATAGCACAATTCAGATCTACCAACCTGCATTTTCATTCCATCTTCAGCTACCCATAAATAATCTGGGATCCCAGCGAGATGTTTTTTGAAATAATCGCCATTGGGATCCTCAACCCAACAAGCAAGCATACTCAATACCTACACCATCAAAGTGCTACATTCAGTGTTCTCTAACAATTGAACTATTGTAGTTATTAAGGGAATGCAGGTAATTTATTAGTCAGTCAAAAATGAATTAGTTTCAGTACTTTTTCCACACATCCCATGGTGATGTATCGACTATTCTCGTCTTCGTAGTGTATGTGTTTCATGGTAACTTCAAGAGCTTTATTTCTCAGCTTGTTGAAAGGCCAACGAGTCAATAGAGGCTCGGTACATATGTAGAGACTATCCCACATCAAATCTTGAACCAACGGATGCGGGTAATAAAGATCCTCCTGCAGCAACAAGTTCATGTTTGAGCATTTGTAGAAGATGGTATGATGTAGACATTAACTTCAACACTGAGGACTCGTTTGGTCCGTAGACAAGGTTATACAGGGACAAATAACACCAAACTTCATGTCGGGATTGTTTTTCTTATCTTAGTAATCAAACAACCTTTGAGAGTCATACCTTAGCACATACATGGCACACTTTTTTCCAGTTAATTTCATCATATGGCTGATCATACAGCTCTTCCCTCAATTGCAAAATGAGAGGTGTGATTGGACCAACAAATCTCTTCCCATAGAGATAAGACATTGGCATGTAGACCGTTCGGCAGTAACACCACATTTTTGCTGCAGTTAAATAACAAGGAATAAAAATATTAACCAACTTGGATGACATGCATGAGGAATAAAAATGTTTAACCAACCTGGATGCACGGGAAGAAAAGATGGAAGAATCCAAAACTCAGGTGGCATTGGATTGGTTCCTATCCATTCGAAAGCTCCAAGAATCTGATTGAAAGAAGGGGAGATTTCTCAGCACAAGAAGACAAGGTTGCTCAGATCCTCCAAAAACATTGCCGCACCAATGTCAGATCTTCAAAAATGCATGACAACATTTTGGAAGAGTAATCGTAAACATAGCACGAAGACATACATGACACTAGAAATTTACTTGAATATAGGAAATGATTAGCTTAAATAATATCAAGCCGTCTATAAGATAATTACAACAGGTTAAAATTCACTAACAATGTGAATTTTTTGTACATTGTCACTTGTCAGTATATATACTAACTATCTACTATATGTTATAACAAGTTAAAATATATGGATAGGATATATAATTTGTACGCTATCAGTGTATATAAGTTAAATACTAGTCATACCGAGAGCCATGTTTTTCCCCAAGAAGGAATGGCGATGACACTACCATGATCAAGAATCCATTTCCTTGCTCTAGCACAAGCATTGTTTTTGCCACCATCTGGTCCTTCTCCAAGAATCCTCATGCAAATGTAACTCAGAGCTGTACAGAACATAGTACTATGACCTTCTATGTGCAAACCCCATCCACCATCTT